TATATATATATATATATACCCAACCAACAGCGCACTAAAGATGTCTCCTCGAATGGTGACAAAACTTTTGCAAATCAACTGCCAATCTCGTCGAACAGATCAACAACCCCCTGATCAATTACCAATCAATGCCCCTGAGAGACCAATTATTCAACGCATCACCACATACACTTTTTGCGTTTGTAACACACTTACGGGGAAACATGAGGGTAAAACTCTGACTCATACAGGTATAATGGCGGATACCACTCATGAAGCATGCGAGTAGTATGTGATTTCCCCGTATCTCTTCCTCATGTCTAATGGAAGGTAAGGTTTATTACGGAACACGTGGAACTGGTTTGCATTATTCGTTTGCAATTGCGTAATAGTCAATGAATATCTAGGAAAGCTCAGAAAGACGTGTTCAAGGGGAAGATGGATATTCAGTTTTTGTAAACAGGATGCATATGAGAGTTTCGCTCCCCTGTCCAATAGTCTGTAACTGTTCAGTTGGTGGTGCTACCGTACGACTTCGCGGCTAGGGGCATTCCTTCTTTCACTGGTATTCACCAACTTTGCGTTATGTTTCGCTACTGGATACCCTAGAGCCATATGGCTTTGGAGTTACCCAGACAACGGAGGGATGCAGCATACGTCTATAGACAGGTTCGTTGCCTCATTGGTGGTGAGGGGTGTAATATGGTGAGAAGGGTGAGAGAAGGGTGGTGAGAAGGGTGTAATATGTGCTGAGGTATTCATACTTGCTGCAGGCTGTCTCAGAACGTAAAAGGTCAATTCTAACTCCACATAAAATTTACCTCCGAATGAAAGGTACTTTTCGAGTGGATGCGGTTCAATCTTCAACCAGCAAGCTTTAAGAGCAAGCGTAACGACCGTCAGTGGAAGTTGGCGAAAACACTCAATACGCATGCATGCACTTTGCAACAGAATCCTTTGGTCCCTGTTGGTTTGAAGCTTACTCTCCGGGTTTCTAATTCTGCAGCATCACAAATTCGCCGGAAAACGTTTATAACAGCCATATTTTTGACATGAGAATTGGTGCTAACGTGTCAAAAGTATCCACTTAGAAAGTAGGCCATAATCAGAGAGTTCGAAATCGTTTCACATATACAATGGTCCACCTGAGGGTCTAACCTCATTGTGGCCTTTACAAC